TTATCTGATTTTCCAGAAATATAACAAATTCTTATGACATTTTAGAATATCATACTAATGTTAAAAATGTTTTACTAAAAATTTTTAAAAATTTATTGTCTATAAAGGTTATATACATGTATTTATTTGTAGAGACAATATGAATGAGATGAGAGATGAATCTCTAACTTTCAAACATAGTAAAAGCAAACTCAATTTATAGATTTTAGATAAATATACATACTAATATGCATAAGGTCACATTGAATTCTTTTGCTGTCATATAATTTTCAAGCTAGAGTTATTTGCTAATAATGCTATTCTTTTTATTCTAATCAAAATGTTCACATTTCTAATCTTAAGCATGGCTATGCAAGATGGTGCTGCTCTTGGTTTCATCTTAGAAGGCTTTTTAAGATGCTTACTCAAATGTGGTCTTTCAGTAATTCTAAGTGGCTGCTACAGAGCACAGTAAGTTTTTTTAAGACAGTGTTTTGAATTACTTCTAAGAGGAGAACTTTTAATAAAACCAAGAAGCTATTGACTGTAACAAACACTAGAGTTATCATGTTATACCTGAAACTTGGAAATATATTTATTATTTTACCTTTTTTTGACTATGTATTATATCCAGTGCATATTAAAGATTTGATTTATCCTTTTCCATGCTCTTTACTCTTTCATAAGTTGTCAGTCTTTCAGTTTAAGCAAGCTTAATTATAATCTCTTTGAATTTAAAATAGTATTTCTTATTGTCACATATTATCTTCCACTTTTTTTGCGAAGTAAGTGCTGTAAGTGCCACCCTCTAAATGGTCATATCATAAAACATAAATCAATTCTATTTAAATAAATCAGCCTTTAGTGGATTATAATTTAAAATCAATGGGTGATAACTCGTTTGTGCCACTGAGTAACGTGCATTCTATGCCTTTCTCACTCACCGATGATCTACGGAGATTGACAGTCATTAGGCCGGCCAGCTTGGAACTTGCTGAGATCATTAGCAGACCCTTATCAAGGCGCCAGTGGGACCAATGCCAAAAATCCATACAGAAGGCTTTTATTACTCATCCAGATGTTTTCTCAGTCAGGGGCCCCTTCAGCAAGAGTTGGAGCTTAAGCTTATATTTTCCTTGATAAAATGCTAGCCCTAAATAAATGAACTGTTCTGTTTTCTAATGTGGGCTTTTTCGAATATGAAAAAGTGCTTTTTAAATGTGAAGTTCTAATTAGGGTACCATAATATAATTAAAAACATATAAAGCATCTAGAAAGAATTGGGATGGCTTTAGCTTTGTATTCATACTCATGCAGGTCAGAGAGTAACTTGGATCCTAAGAGATTCAAAATATTGTACTGAGAAAAAGTATCAGTATATAAATTAGAATACCAAGGCATAGAAAAATTAGTAAAAGTGTATACAAACTAAAAATTCTCTTCTGTGAACATAGAAAAAAATTAGAGGTTCTAATCCAAAATTAAGATGCTAAGATGCATGGAACCAAAAAGAAAAAAAACAGCTAAAGATGAGTATGCACATGCTCTATATGTATAAATCGCCAGGGAAGTTCACGAGCTGTTAAATTGCTCTCCTTGTGTCTACTCTGCCTCCCTAGAGTCAGTTCACAGCATAGCCAGGGTGATGCTTTGAAATTTAAATAAGATCAAAACATTCCCTTGCTCCAAACCCAGCAAAGGCTTCCCATCGACCTTAGAATAAAATCTATGGTTCTTACTGTGGTTTATGAGGCCCTGCAAATCTGGCCCTGGCTGTGTCTCCAACTTCATTTCTCATCAATCTTCTCCACCCTTTCCACAACTGGGCTTGTACTGCTCCCCAGACACACCATGTTAGATTCTGCCACAAGGATTTTTCACTAGCTGTTCCCTCTGCCTGGCATATTTTTACATCAAATATATTTGCACAGCTCAAATATGACCTTTTTCAGAGATGCCTTCCCTGACTACCCTATCAAAGTCAGCATGCTTCCATCTTTGAATCTTGACATTATAGTATATACTTGATTTTTAAAGTTGTCTGTTTTCTCCACTTCAGTATATGCTACATGCAGAAAGTGACTTCATCTGTTTTGTTCCCTGTTGTGTTCTTCAGGCCTCGAACAATATTTGGCATATGATAGGCACTTAATAAATATCTGATGAATAAGTATAAGTAAAGGAAAACATTTCTAACTTTAAAATATGCTTATATTTTAGTGATAGGAAAAACAAAGTTCTGTTTTGAATTATATAGGGAACTAGATCAGTGTATATGATATTGCTTCAAATATCAAGAAAAGTAGTTCTTCATTCTTACACATAATAAGTATTTTTTCTTAAATGCTTAGCTCATGTAGATGTGCAGTAAATACTTGCTGAATTAATAGAATGCATACTATGTACAAATTAATAGACAGTTTATTTAGTTATCAAAAAAAGGGCCAAAAATCCCTCTTAGGTGGACTATGTTATTTTAAACATGTTGATGAATTTCATATCTTAAGGATCACTCTTCAGTAACCAGTATGAATGGTAAAGTTCCTCACGCTTGACAGTAGGCTGCACACAATGCATACAATTAGGCTTTTCATCATCCACGTACATTTTTGGCATTGAAATCTATATTTCATAGTTCAATCTTTTTTTTCATTGCAACACTAAAAAATGGTTTAGACTTCCCATCTGTCAGAATCTTCTGGCTCTAAATAAAATCTCAATCAGCCTTGTTTCTTTTAATGATTGTTTAATTTGTACCAATCTTGGTTATTACTATCCTTAATATCACCTATCCTTCAAAGCATGAGTCAGTGTTTACTGCAGAGAAGAGAAAGATTGAAGGTCACTGTCTGCTGTAAGCCTTTGCCAATCAAGCAATGTCTTCATCTTTAGGCAATTCAGTATTTGTCTAATTTAAGTAATTTGGTCATTTGATCACTCTAATAATACTTATATCAACAGATCTATTTCATTTCAAAGATGCAGCAGCAGCTACTGAAAACGAATAAACCTGGGTCTACACTGGTAGGAAGTGCTTTCTGTAAGTTCAAAAATTTAGGTAGAACAAGGAGAAAAATGTATATCAATTTATTTCTTATGTTATATTCAGTTATTACTAAATCACAACTTGGAATGAGAAAACACGTTAAATTTTGCATAAATATCTTAGACGGAAAGATTTTGCCTTTTCAGAGGCATTATTTTGCTTAGTCAGAGGGTATGCTCTGTGGTAAACATAAGTAATAGGGCAAGTAAGTGCAAAGCAGACAATACCTCCCTTTGCTTAGCAAGATTTCTTAGACAACAGAGATGTTCTTCTACTTTCCTGATACATATGCTGTGCCTGGGCAGGCAGCATATTAAGGTATTGGTCAGTTAATGTTAGGGATTAGATTATATGTTGCTATATAAGGTTTTATCTACAAAAATCATATATAAAAATTAAATCTAAACATTACACCTGTGACTTGTCATTGGAACGTTTCTGTTGGCAGAAGCACAATAAGATAGATGGTTGAATGGTGTTCCAGAGGCTGTCACAGAATTTACCTGGCTGTTCAGGACTAAAATGGTTACATTTTAGATACTAATATGAACCGGGCCCATTTGGCTACATAATCTACAATATGTGTGTCTCTTTGAAAAATTTATGATGAAAGACTGAAACTGTGGCTAAATTGCACAATTTATCGCCTATATTTTTAAGGGCTATAGAATGATCACCCTTTTGATAATGATTTTAAATAGTCAAAAGCCCAGGTCTGTTAAATAAAATGCGCTTTAAAGGAATCTTATCTAAGCAATTTACACTGAATAGAAAGGCTCCTGTATTTTTAAAAGATTAATGTATGTGCAGGAAACAATGGTAATCATTTAATAAGTAGCTCAAAGCATGTGAACAATAACAGTGACATTTCGAAGACAGCTCCTTTCTACAAGAAGCACACTCCATTTTAGTTGGTATCATATTCAGGCAAGTGGAACTGGATCTGTCAGGTTGCCTGAGAGACTGGGGTCCATCCTCCTTTCCTCAAAGCATAATGCTAGTGTCACAAACTGTTAGTGCTGTCTCACTGTATCATAGCATGGTGTCATAGTTCAAGCCATCACTGTGTCAGCCTACCCTCACTGCAGTGTATGCTCGCGGTTGTAGATAATGAAAAGTTTCACAGGATAAGATGCTTAAAATGAATGTTGGCTAATATAAGGCCCGTACAGAGATGAACCAGTGTATCTACACCATGCTTTGCATCACACAGGAGGACACTGCTTTTTAACCCATGGATTCTAATGACTGCTTTAAGTGGAGAATGATGATGGTAGCAATTTTTGGAGTGGTGGCTATATCATAAGAAAGAATGTGCACATTAAAAAAGATGATAGAATCTCATGAATTGCAATATATGATTAACTCTGCTTAAAAAATTATGAGAACTGTCCAAAGAGCCCTCAGACTACAAGTTACTGAATGGGATCATTCTCGTTTTCATTTGTCTTAGTCCAGTTAGCAAGTGATAGCATATCTACCTTTGGTTATTAAAACTCATAATTAGATTAGCTTGGTCAAAGGTTGTTTACTCTTTGAATCTTTTTGAACACTACAGTTTGACCATGGTAACCCAAACTTCTTCAGTAACTGTCTGCATAAGGCACTCAGTCAAATAGCTGATGTAATTTTAATTCCATGCCTCATCAAATGAAACCTGAACTGTGAAATACTAATACTCCTGGCCTGAGACCCTGCTCTCAATCAGTGAAATCTACCTAGACCCTGTGAGTCCATCTTATTGCCTATCATTCTTTCCACACATGCTTTTCTATTAGCTAGTTATTACATATTCAGTGAAATTGGACATTTCTCTAGTTCAGCTGATGAATGAAATTCAGAATTCAAAAGGTTTGGATGAACTGGAGGGAGAAAAAGGAACTAAGTTCCATTTTGTTTAATATTACCAAATATTACATCTCCCAACTGGGTAATAATAAAGTAGCATGGTAGAAAGCTGTAAAACAAAAATTACAATAGGCAGAATTTTGGTGTACTCATTTGTTCAATCATTGACTCAACACATCTATGCTGAACATCTAACACGTGGCAGCACTGCTTTTTGGATACAAAGATGAACATGACACAACCTATAGTTAAGAGCAAGGGACAAAAATTAATTACTGAATACTGTTTTAGAGGCAAAGGGCTCAGATGAACTGAGCTTGGGTGTGGTCGGGTATCAAGGCTTCTGGGAGAGAACATAAGTTGAGTAGGACTTGGGGCAAGGAGGTGGGAGGCACATCTGCAAAGTTAGAGAGAAGAGCTTGTGTCCATGCACCGAGGCATAAAGCCTTTGTCCGAGGAGATGAAGGTGGCTTGTAGACCTGGAGGGTCCCGTGTGTCAGGAAATGAGTAGAGAGGCTGAGGACATAGGTGGGCCGGGTCATGAAGCAGATCTGCTAAGGACTTTGAACTTTACTGTGAAAGCTTCAGTTCAGCATTGTCCCTTTGTAGCTTATCCTTACTATATTTAGTTTTTTTACCCTTATACATTGAGATTCCATAAATAACCATTTCTTGATTCTCCTTCCTTCTCAGTTTTGCAAACATTTTTCATTTATTCAAACTCATCTTTGAGCATTTAACTTAATGTACTTTTCTTTCTTCCTCTCATTTTATTTTATTCAGTCATTATTTAAAAGGGGATTTGACTGACTTTGTCCTGTGGAATTGGCATCCTGCACTGGCTGGCACTGGTGCGAGCGCTTCCCTCTCCTTTCTCCTTGTCTTGCACCCCCCTACTCAAGTCCCCTGAAGATTTCTGTGAAACTTTGATCTAACATATTTTCATGTAGCAAAAGTATAATTGAGTATTTAAACATTCAAAATCATGAATTTGAAGAACTCATTACTGAATGAATCATAGTTTTTCCATGAATTTAGACAAATTATGTTTTAGATTTATTTTGTGCTATTTTTTTCCAGGCAGCAAAATTAACTCTGCTACATTTATGAAGTAGTCAGTATATGCTAAAATCTTATCTTTAATTTACTGTACCTACATGTAATCAAACCAATTCCTTCTAACCATAATAATAGCAATATTATTTACATGATATTATTAATTCCTATACCCATTCATGCAACATCTACTGTATTGCTTGATATTTATTTTAAGGCAAAACATTTTTGGAAATCATTCTGATGGAAGAAAAAAAATGGTGAAATTGTTATGCTAACATTTATTTACTTTTGTTTTATTCAAAATAATAAATTGTGTTATAAATAAAATGAAAGTCAATAAATATCTAGAAAATTGACTACTTGGATGGTTACTAGTACTACCCCAAAATATTATGTTGATGTGAATTCTTTTTAATATTGATAATCATCTGTCAAGTATTTGATTTCAGTAAGAGGAGAGTCAGCTGAAGTGGATGATATTATTATTGTTAATTTACTTTTATCATTAGAACTCTTAAAGCATAAAAGGTGTTACTGCATTACTGAATACAGGATCACTGTTGAGAAGTATTAAGAATAGCTTCACCCAGACACATTACGCAGAATTTGGCTTTTCAGCCTATATTAGTACCCTTACATGTATAAATAAATGGCCAATCTGATCTCACTTTGGCAAAACAATTTAAAATTACAAAAAATAAAAACACATTCCCTACCAGAAAATTAACTTTGACAATTCTGAGCTTAAGGAAGGAAAAGATAACTCTACCATAATGGGTGTACACTTAGAAAAAAATAATGTTAGTATAAAAATAGCTTTGAAAATTTGTTTTCAGAATTGCTTCCTTCCTGTGAAATAAATGATGATTACAACATGCACAAGATATTGCATTTATAAATATTGTCATTGTTTTTCATTTCTCTTCAGGGTCCTTATATTTTGTATTGGCTTTTCATAATGTTATATCTTTATTAAAGTTTGTACATTATTCTTTACTAAGAATAAAAGGCATTTAGAAGTTTCTGGATGGCAATTCAACAGGACAGCAGACAAGGTTAGTCAAATAATTAGAATAATACATAAACTATGTTAAAAAAGATGAGAACATTACATGGAGAATTGGTTTTGCCTGATGAGAATTATTTTAAAGGCTTTCAGGTCCCATAATATGAAGAAACTTAGTATAATTACACTATTTTTGTTTGTTCAAATAGAGAAAGCATTCTCTTTTGAAAATATGTCTGAGCATATACACACTAAAATAGGAGGTTTCATACTATGCTTTGAGGAAATGATTCTATTGGGAGCTCAACCAAGATGTTCTGCCACTAAATAATAACAGCTTTTCTCCCAACTCTGTAAGAAAAACAGAGAAGAAAATTTTCTGATTTATAAGTTTTTCTCCCCCACCTTTTACACTTTTTTTTCATTGGTTCTTCCTTTTGTCTACTGGCATGTGTTGCTGTTAGATGACAAAATGAATGAACCAAAAACACATAAGAAAAGAGACCAGTCTTGCATATATTAATTCTCAAATACATGTTAAATACATTCTCAAATCATTATTTTTTACATGTAAAGACTTGCATACATTTAAAACAATCATGTTTCTGCAGGTGAATTTCCTCCTAGTTCTTTCAATTTTATTAAAATATCTTTACTTCATGGAAACCTGCAAAGAATGTCATAATTTTCAGGTGCTCAAGCACTTCACACATGACTGAGACCCCCTGCATTATAATGTTAACTTTATTTATTAGTTTTTATTTTTTGAGTGTAAATTGTAATCCAGAGATTTTCAGGTACATTTCAGAATCAGGATTAAGTATGATGATCATACTTCATATTGTTTGGGTTCAATACTTTCTCTGGAACAGCAAACAGAATACAAGATTAGAAAATACATTAGCTCATGTCTGTGTTGGGAAAGTTATTTTCAAAAGCTTTATGTTAAGTGATACTATTAATGGCTACACATCTAATCTAAGTCAAGACCTTGAAGACGTCTCTAGTTTGCATTCCATTAAAAGTTTTTAATAAGATTTCAACAAAAAATAATAACAAAAAGCATTCCATTTCACCTTTGCTTCTCCTTAACAATTCAGAGTATCAATTATAGTATAACCTTCATTTGACTTGCAACCCTCCCTGTGCTCTCAACAGCAGATTGAATTGTATGCTAATACTTTAAGGGCAAAATTAATGTCTTGTTTTACTTTTTAACTTTTGCTCCATTTTTAAAGTGACCTCTCAAATGTTTAATACTCAACTGAATGTTATCTACCAAGTCATCTTTTTAAGCATTTATCTTTTTATTTTTCTGATAGTTTCAAACAGTTGAAAAAGCATTTTAAAAAGTTTAAGAATAGATATTCCTCCTTCACATCTTGAAGAGCTCCAGTCAAACAACAGTATAAGGTCTGGGGACTCCAGTCTGATTATCTAGGATAGTTTGCCTGGAGGTTATAAATGTTTCAGGAACATTTTTGTTAATACAACTGTGTAGAAAATGAAACTGAATTTGTCTCTTCCCAATATACTGAATTTGTATTTTTCTAAAATATAGGCATTGTCTTTTTCTTTTTAATTGTCATGTTAATACTACTCTGGAATTGACACAGTTGCTTACACAATTTCCTTTTATTTTACCAGTCGGTTTCCTAGGAGGAATGATCACAGGACTCTTAGAAGACAGATTGAAGCAGGATGTCAAATGAAGAAAAAGGAATTTTGATTACTGAAGTTTCCAGAGTTTTCCACCTCTGTAAAAGAGTTGTAGACATTAAAAAAGGTAACAGTAAAATCTGAAGAGAAAGAAACATGACAGTGTACAGGAAAAGCGTAAGGGTAAGATAGAAAAAAGTCTTTTTGGTGTCCAGAGAACTATCACTTTTAATCTCAGACTCAGCAGTTCTTATCCATTGTTGATCAGACAGTAAATATGCCATAAATCCTCTTTCATAATCGTATTTCTCAACGTCTGGTCTTCAAAAAGGATTAAATGAGGGTCTCCTAGAAGTCCTTTCCACATTCACAGGATCATGGAGAGTGAATCCCTTTCCTGGTGCCAGCGGTAGCCACAGCAGGAGCAAGAGTGTAAGTACTGGGGACTCCAGGCTGATTATGTCGGACAGTTTGCCTGGAGAATCTAGGTGTTCCAGGAAAGTTAATTTAACTTACTATGTAGAAAATGAAACTGAATCTGCCACTTATTATTAGTGGACAGTCTAAACTATTTGAATCTTGATGAGAAGAGCTTCAAAACAGCTCCCAAGTGATATCCAAAGAAAGAACTAACCTCTTGTATTATACAAATAAAAGTTCATGTTACAAAGATCATAAAAAACTGATTTATGTTCTTTTTTCCTTTTTTGTGTTTTTATTTTAGAAAAGAGGGGGTTATTTAGTAGTATTTTGCCTATATATGCCATTAATTTTAATTAATAGGGGATGAAACTGCTGGAGGTTTTTTTGCCCCTAAAATTCAGTATTTAGCTTTTATGTTAATCAATTTAAGGACGATAAACTTAAAAAAAAAAGAACATATATGCCAGAGTACCTATAATCTGGGAGATGAATTTGGTGACTGAAACTGGGAAACAAAGTTTAGGAATCACATGAAGAAAAGCATGGCAGGAATTGGGATCAAATAGGCAAAGTTACTCAACAGGGCCTAGAATTTTGTTAACAAATAAGGCTTAGACGACCTAAAGACTTTTTAGGTACTGATTTTATGGTAAACCTGTGCTTCTGATTGGAAGAGCCATAGTATACCAGAGGAAAATTTAAAGGATGACTATGGCTGGATCCAAAATGAAGAGGTGAGATAGAAAGATTAAGTAATTAGTCTAAGATTGAGGACTCCAGTGTCATAACTTAAGAGCCACAAGATGCAAGGCGGAAGTGTGAAATTTGGAGAATTTCCCCAGAAGTCTCATAATATATGGTAACGTTGAGTTATGGAGAAGCATTTCAAACAGAGAAAGAACGATGCCAATGGGGGTATAGGAAACCTAAGGATATTTTGAAAATCTTAGTCAGCTGAAGAGGACAGATATCTTAATACTTGAAAAATTAACTGATACAGGAAATAAATCCTTAGTGCATAGCTTAGTTCTCTCATAATTCAATTATTGTTCCATTATCTTCTGGTATCAAAATTTGCAGAGGAGAAGTCTGAGG